ATACTCGTAACTGAAGTTGACATCGCCTACCTTGGCTGCTTATGGTAATTGCAACACCTGAGTCTATGTGCAACGCTCAGTATAAAGCTGACGGTCTTTCATACTATACGCGATGCCGCTTATCTTCGCTACCTAAAGTAAACATCAATCCAATATATATGCCAACCAGTAAACACAAGGACTCAGCTATGGGTGATAGCATAATCCGACAGCCTGTTATACTCACAGCTGTACTCGAAGTCACCTAACTTGGCTATTTATCGTCATGCTCATACTTACTCGATGCCGTTTATGTTTGCTGCCTTCAGTAAACATCGCAACTGTAGTCGGCGCAACCTACGTGACTAACTATAGTAACTGCCGGGCCGGCACACATGCTCGTAGCTAACCATAATGCCCCGGCAACACATAATGGACTAACCCAACGAACAACGGTGGTTATCGCCTGTCAAACTGCAATCCTCACTCATTTTGATAGCGCGCTCCCACCTCCTACTCTTGATTGTACCCCCTCGACCACTCCCCCCATTACCCGAAACAATGAGCTGTCGCTCACCTCGGCTACTTAGCGTAACTGCTATTCGCGACGCAGATTATGGGGCCTCAACTATGCACGGCAACGTAATAATTTTATTTGTTTGCTTACCTAGTGATTCATAATTCCCATTACCGAGATAAGGTATAAAAATAACGTCGTTGCGGATTACCATGGGTTCATGGACCGATCAAGATCAACATCAAAGCAAGTTCTTTCAGCTAACCGGTAGGTAGACTGACCGGCGACTAATGGGAATAGCTTAATTTATACATGTGCACTCACTTGATGGACGCGCCTGAAGATTTTCTCCACAAAGCGAGCAGGGTTCTTTGCCACAGAAATAACGGTGATAAGGAAGTCGATCACGTTGACACCACCCATCAGCAGGGTCAGTTGGCCGGCCACAGAGACTACAGGGAACAGCGTCGTTTGACGTCGAACGCCACAATGATTGGTAAAATATGCACATTCAGGTTCCAACCGAGGTGTTGACTGTCTGAGAACCTTTAGGGGTTTATACTGCAAACTGCCTGTTATTAACAACGGGCTTCTCACCTTGAAGCGATTTGTCTGCTTGTATGTCAGATTTGGCGTGCATATTCCAATGTGCCTGAGAACCTGATTGGCGACGTATGTCGTCATCCGGGAAACCACACGTAGAACGTAGATGTCTCCCTCCCGAATTTCTCAACGGTCACAATAATAAGTGGTGTGCATTTCATATTCGCGCATTAGCCATTCGCTGTGATGAGCGACTTTCTGGACGGCATGCTCCAGGCTATCTGAGTGATGCACGCGCCTGTTCAAACGCTCGTTGGTGTTCTCCAGGCGGTTTTCGGTCACATTCCCAAAATGTACCAACCCACGTTGTGCATGAATGTCCCACTGTCGAGTGATGTGGAGACAGTGGGCAGTCAAATAAGAGACAAAACTGGCATCTTTTTGCCTCGAGATTTGCAAACCGTGACAAAATCTGCGCGATAGTGTTTGGTGCACATTCACTTACTCAGTTGCATTATCAAAGCGAGCCGTGCGGTGTAATATGTGCCGACTGCGGTTGGAAATTGTCTGCAAAAGTTACACCGAAGCAATGAAACATACGTGCTTTCGGATGGCTTGCCATGCGCGAAAATAGCACAGCATTATGTCGCAGCCAAATACAGCTTTGGCAGCCCGCATTTGCGAAGTCATTTTGTCCATGACGAACGTTTTGACTGCATATTGTCCACCCATCCTATCCTTGAACAAGCTGAACAGCTTGCGCAATGGCGCAAAATGCTCCCTTTCGCCAAAGATATACATTACGGGTCGACCAATCCCCATGCAATCCGTCACAAGAAATGTATAAAGCTTGTAACTCAACAGCGAACGTCAGGGGCTCGAAATCTTTTTACCCAAGACGGTTAGCACCGTGTGTAGCATCATCATTTACAACGTCCGGGAAACGTCTAAAGAGTGCTGTCTGCTGCGTTCGAAAAAGGCACAGGTGACTATATCCGCCACCATCCGATTCTAACAGCAGCACGCAACCGCACTCTCGAAACTTGGCTATGACGGACAACATGCCATCTAAGAAATCGACTAAAAGGTAACCAACGACTTACTTAACAATGGGGGTCGACATTTGACACGATAGTTACGCACATCCTTGATAGTGAGTACCTTTCCAAAGTGGTCGGCGACGTACTGCCGAGTCTCCGATGACGGAGCACCGTATTTCAAAAGGGTAGAACACTCCCTTAATTCATCATTTGTCAGTCGCCGGTTGATAGCGGGCCTGCCAAAAATAAACTTGCCGCGTGGATGGTTGTGCTCCAGGTAGCAGGAAGTAACCCTCAAGTACCCAGTAAACACGCCACCGGTGGCAAAGGGTGGCTAAAGGTGGCAAAAAGGGGTGGCATGTTACACTTGCCACCGGTGGCTAGGGGCGGCCAAAGGTGGCCACTCGAAAAAATCTCCCTAATCTTTTCATGGCCTTCTTCGAAACCCTTTGCAGCCGGAATAGGCTAACAGTGGCAACCACAAATTTGTCGGGGCATATTTTTGGCTTACTACCTCTGTGAGTAATAATTGCTGACTATCTAACCTCATGGCATGCGTATTTTTCCCGAACGCCGGAGATAATTACCAAACGCGTCGTTCTTACGACAACACGCTGCATGGTCAAAAGATAACAACGTTGCTGCAAAAATATGAATCTATTGATGACATAATTACAGCGTCATTGATGTTTTCGGATGCGCCGCAAGGCGGCCCTCTCGCGTCGCAGCTTCCGGTTTCCAGGGATTCGATCGAAAGCCCCCTTGAACCAAGCCTGGATTGATTTCTCAATGAAATCCACTGCGACACTCGAATGTGCGGCCACGGAATACATTGCATCTAAAGTGACAAGTGTCAATGTATAACAGCTACCTCACCCTTTATGAGTGCTGGTAACTCTGTGCACGATATGGGTCTTTTTTCTTCACTCATCGACCACGTCAAGCGATCTGCGAACTCCGGAGCAAACAGAGCACGCAGCATGTTCCTCACTGACCGGCGAGGGTCAGGGCAGACCAATCTGGAAAGATAAATTACCTTTATCACACAGTGTGACCAGGGTTGAGCTACTCACTGACTGTTCACGAAAATCTGCGTCCAGCAGTCTGACCAAGAAAGTATCCAGATCTTCCATTTTGGTCATTTCGTTTATCTCTTCCGTAATTGTTTTCCGCTTTTGTTGTGTGGACGCACCCGAACTGAGACCTAGCTCTAAAGATCTCATCCGCACATCCAGCTTTTCCAACCGATCCAAGGTTTCTTCTAATATTCGCATAAGCAATAAACATGACTGCAGTCATGTTACCGGCGAACGTGGAACCTTGCCGGACAATCAGTATGACGTGTGCTACAACGTACACACAATCAACCATGAACTTACTAGGTGCGACGAATTCCACAGCTTCTGCTTCGTCTGCAGGGATGTCTGCTGCAACGGTAGAAGGCTTTTTCATACAAAAGTAGCGAATTGCTGCTCTTTTTGGAGTTTATACGGACGAAAACAACGTAATGTTTCGCCCGGTACTCTTTCAAAGCGACTTGAAATGCACTGAATGAGAAAAAACTTTGACGAGCTGAATTCCCCACAAGATCATCCTTCGAATTCACGTGCTCGGCCATAGCAGCCATTTAAAATATGAATATCGCGGGCCTTGAATATCGTGGGGATTGAGTAGATCTAAACAACTTTCAACAAAACTGCGGCCGTTTGGGAAGATCTCATACGCCCGAAAAATTACCATCAAATGTTAAAACTTTATGTTAAAGTTTTCCTCATTCGAACCAAGGTTTCATAGAAATTTTGGGTGTGCGTCTAGCCGCCGGCCAGTGGACTCCGAGTTCGCCTAAAAAACTTCCAATAATCCTGTGCCGCATATGGGGATTTCAAAAGCAGCATTATATACCATCAAATACTAAAGAGCCATGCGAAAGTTTCATTCCTTCAAACTATGGTTTCAGAGAAATTTTCAGTGTGCCTCTAGGGTTTGTTGGTTTCGATTGGAGCCCGCTGACTGTACAGTGCTCCCAGGTTCAGCATCTTTGCGAGTTGACAGGACTTACTGGGCCAAAATTTCGCATTTTACTGTGTATGTGCTCACACCAAAAATCAGCTCAATCTCGTTCATATTTCCGCAGATCGCCAAACTTCATTGTTCGCTAAGGCAATCATACCCCCTAGTGGAAAAATCTGGTGGAATAATTTCCTATCATTGCTGAGACCACGAGATCCCTGCATGAGGCTCAAAAGTTTAAAATCCTACTCTGGAATCGATTCTGGTCCGTTTTAGGCCATCAGGGACACACTGTGTGTTTCGGCTTCAGTCCAATTGTGTGAATACTGAGAGTTGAGCACCCGGTTGAAAGAGGACTGCAATGTGGGTGACAGGGAGTGTTCGACGTTCGAGGGGGTAAAGGGACAGTATACGCCGGTTCTAAATTGTGCGGATATAGAGGTCGTATTACTGAATCCACACATTTGCACAAGTCGGGTGACACAGGGGAGAAGACCGGGCGTGGCAGCAACACAAGTGTATTAGAACCGAAACCGAAACCGAAAGTGTCAATGGTAAAACAACGTGATATGGTAATAGTCAATGGGTTCGGTCCAGTGTACCTGTAGTAGGAAGGAAGAAAGATGCAGATACATTACGCCATATGATGAAAACTTGTAGGCAGGCGCAGTCCAGTTTCAATTGCGTTACAGGGTTAGCTTCCGAAAGCTCCCCGTTCCGTTCATTCCATTATCAAAGCGTCCAGCATGTTAGACGGTCACTTGTGAAATGCTTTATAAGATATACACGAAGCGTGATGTTCCATGTTTCTTGTTCGTTATGACATTGCCAACTAGCTATAACCTGGAACTTTGTTTAAACTTACCAACATAATTGCTACCCGAATCGTAGAAAGAGGCGTCAGATTAAGAATGACGCAGTCAGTTTGGGACATAGCAATACAACAGCACAATCTGAAGAACAGTAATCACCTTTTTGCAAACTCCCAAATTGTAGAAAAATCTCCGGATGACCATGAACCAACACTAGTCTTTGTTGGCAGCAGAAGTGCAGTAGGTTGTTAATAGTCCCGTATCCATCGTTATATCATAGGGGAAAAGTACAATCATTCATTACTTCCTTGATCGAGAAGACAAAGCGAAGCCAACATTGGCTTTAGATTATACGTTTGGAAGGAAATCAAGTGGAACATTTTCGGTGAGTACGACTAACAGCGGCAGCTCAGTGTTTGGTAATTGGGCGTAGCTGGTGTAGTGGTCTGGCTACCCAAAAAGTTAGTTTACCAGGAGTGTGTGGCAAAGAAATAAAAATAATAACGCTAGGTTGAGAATACAAAAATAAACTGGTCAGATGGAACAAAATCACTAACAATTATTCTCTTTAAAATAGTTCGTCGTTGGCCCAGGTCAGCGAATAAACAATAATCCAATTATGTTGGTCCATAGGTCTCCTTCTGAATAGTTCCCACATATAATAGATTCCGAAAATGGTCTGAAATGTTTCGGTACCAGAGTTAGTACATGAGACTCGCGAATGACCGCTGCGAGCGCGAGCGAACTCAGAAGAAATCTCTTCTGTGTTCGACTCTCGAGAGTCAAAGCACGTGACCACGCTTGTACCCTGTGAAACTGTACAAATGCGCGTTTTTGTAGTTTTTCGTATTCAAACAAAAGACGATTATGCAAGTGATGAAATATGTAGTGTTATAATGGAAGTAAAATAAAGGTGCAAAAGGCCACACTGGTCACTCTGGTGACTTCACAAAATCGACAGAACATTGGTTTACTCCAGGTCTCCAACAAAGAATTTGCTAGTGCGTGAGGAATATCACTATTACCAAGACTTTTCGATTTTTCATTTTTGTGGCTTATGAAGAAGTCATGAAAAGTCCCGTAGGATTTCAACAACGAATAAAACCTTAATTAGGTTCATATGCACTGCAACAGCGTTTTTAAGTGTTTGTCCCAGTCGCACTCAGTCTTTGTCCAAGGTGTTACGTTTTTTTTAAATATAACCTTGGTGACTTACATGGTCTCCACATGCACGCGATGAGAGTGTTTTTGACACAAATCAGCGATATCTAAAGCGCCATTCAGCAACAATGTATAACTCCACAGTCGAAAATGGGTATTTATTGCGCAGATTCAATTTGTATGGGACGAACCAACGAGAACTTGTTTACGAGGTTGTGGCAATAGCATCAACCGACAAAGCAGTGACCCTTTAAGTTTGCAACTAACCTGAATTACAAAAGCGAAATCGTTCCCATTAATCTATCTGCTTTTAGGTGTCACTGATCAGGAAAGAACTTTTTCTCAAATTATCCCTCTTTTGACTCTCTGACCAACTAACCCAGTCACTATTCGTGTTATCAATAACACGACTTCTCCATCACATTCACGCTGACAACCAACGGCACTTTACATCATTTGCCTCCCGTCATAGGTATCACCATTTTTACCTGCTGCGGCGCTAGAGACCATGCTATGGAGATTAGATCCATTAAAGAAATCGGTTTACTTACTCAATTCGCAACGATTGTGGAAGGCGAAAATTGAGCAGTACACTGCTACATGTAGAAACACGGCTGGTGCCGACGAGCGCCACTGGCCTTACACTGAGATATAATAAACCGCAGCCGCAGAAAGTTTTGCGTCCTTGTGGCGCCTAGCAAATGAATAAGGTAGACCAATTTTGCATGAATATCAAAACCGGATGAAAACAGGCAAGCTACCAGGAAAAAGCTGTGCTATTCATCATCAATTAAAGTTTCATTTAGCCTCAGACCAGCAAAGAAACAGACGGTCAAGGAACGACAGATGGAAATGAAAACGTCAGAATTAGGATCAAAACTGAAATCCCACTGAAAGCATGATCGGGGTAACGCACATCTCCGGGAGAGGATTGCAGTAACTCACCAAGTAATGCTTTGAATGGTATTAAGGCGTCTTTGAGAACTGCTAAATAGAGAAGAATCATACATTTTTTGATAGCAATATATGATTAAAAACAGGGACTACAGACCCAAACAAATTTCTCAAAGTTACCTTTAAAAATTACAAATTGCAAGTGCCATCTGACTGCACCAGTTTTATCAAGTTTTACCCCACCTCAGAAGCTAAATATATTACCGTCACTGACAGCAATATAACTTATTTATATACCGGTGACGTAACTGTTATAATGGCTTGAGACCTAAAACAATTCGCGAGACCTGCTGTCACCACGCACTTTTTCCCGATAGGGATAAGGCAAGACCAAGAATATCATATTCGAGTCAAAATAAAAAACTGTTTTTATTAAGCATTAAAGTAAAAGTGATCAGCCATATTTATAATCCCTCATCTTATCCCCAAAGTTGGAGTGTGGATGAAAGCTGATTTTTTTTCTTAAAAGGGCGCTCTATTAATGGTAGTAGAGCCTAATGAAGGTAAAGTTTTGCGCCACTTGGAAAATTTTTTTATTCAACACCTAATGATATTCAGATCTACTTCAGTACGTCTGTAGCAGACCGGAACTGATAACTGATGTAGTTCGCAGTACTCGTCTAGCGCATTACGTGGTGACGCAATAAAACTCGGGCAAGTTATGAATAACAGGACATCAACTGTAAGGCGATAGCTGTTTTGACTATTTAGGACGGACTCCTCCCATATGAATACTGCAGTGGACAGATTCCTCACAACACTGACCCCGAGTTGAGGTTCGTATTGAAGCTGGCTCTTTGAAACTGGCACTTTTAACTTTTCCCACAAGTTGTATGGAGCGCCCTTACCTTCAAACGCCACGCTTTTTAATGAGTGGTGCACAAAAACTTTCTGCAACATGTCTTGTTGTTTACAAAATGGTGACCCTGGCATCGCCGTATGATGTTAAATCTAGTGTCTACTAAATTTCCTCAATCAGTTGCAACAAATATAATTTGGAAAATTAAAACAGAGCCAGTTGTACTAAAAATGCATTTTCTGCAGGCCTGGCCATCAATACTGCAACAAAAGAAGATGAACTGAGAAATGTGTAGGATCTGGCTAAAGACGTCCGGTGGCTTAACAGCCCTATTAGGAAGCACTTCCCCCGTAGAACCACGGTGCCGAAACCTTGCTGATCCACATACACGTCACTAGTTTTCAGACTCAAGAGGTACACATTAAAAGCTTTGAGGAGCTACTAACCTATAAGAAACAGATACCTCTGCAGCAAACACAAAGATATCACAATAATTGCACTAGCTCAGTGTACAATGAGAAATGCATACAAGCACCTGGCACGGTTAGGTAGAAATTTTTCAATATATATATATATATATACATATATATA